AACTTCTTTTCATACTCGTTTCGGTCAAATCTCGTTTCCATTCTTCGGATTCTTCACATATAAGTCCATCCCTAGTGGTGTGTGATCCTGTAGTCGGGTTCTATGAAATCAAAACAGAGCAACCAGGCTCTGATACCACTGTTGGGTTTTCCTGGGATCTCTAGAGCGAATCCTATTCCTAAGAGATCGATTCTAGGGTTTGTGCAGCGGATGTAAAACAAAAATTTTAATAAACCCTAGAACCATGCTTCTAATGAATCGTAGAAACGTTAGAACGCTTACCTCAATCGATCCGGGGCCTGTATCAATCGAAGAACACGTCTGATCACGAAAGGCCGAAAATTACCTCGCCCTCCCGATCACTCTAGGCAGGAAGAATACCTCGCCCTCTACACGTATCCACACGTCGGGATGGATTCCAACACCTTGGAACTTGTCTGCTAGGACTAGAGATCTCGATCTCTCTTGTGTGCAAGGTTTTTGGAGGCTTAGGGTTTTATTTTTCTTCTCCTTTTTTTTCTTTTTTTTTCCTTTTTTCTTCATTTAAAACCCTAGAAGACATTCTCCTTATATAGACTTTCCAAAATCCTAATTTGACAAGGATTAGATTTGTGTGCAAGGTTTTTGGAGGCTTAGGGTTTTATTTTTCTTCTTTTTTTCTTCTTTTCCTTTTTTCTTTTTTTTTTCTTAAAACCCTAGAAGACATTCTCCTTATATAGACTTTCGTAAAATCCTAATTTGACAAGGAATAGATTACTAGGAATCCTAATCTAATTAGGTTTCCTAAACCTATTAGAATTCTAATCTCATTAGGTTTCCTAGATGTAATAGAATTCTAATCTCATTAGGATTCCTATACATAATAGGATTCCTAATCCCATTAGGATTCCTAATCCCATTAGGATTCCTATTCCAATTAGGAATCTCAATCCAATTAGGATTCCTAATCGGGATAATTTAGCACACGTACTTGTCCATCCCTATTGTGTGTGACCCTGTAGGCTCATCCGGAATAGCAGTAAAACGCAGAATCTCCATTCCGGTAATACAAGTCATAGGCGGTCTCTAGCAAGACACTATGACTACCTATCTCGAATAGAGTTTGTTTGTGATCATACGAAAGCCAGTGATGATTCCGACTGATGATCCTTTTGTATCGCGATATGATATGTCGAACATAAGGCATGGACAAGCCACCTTATCTGATTCGACTGCTTTCTCGTTCACTGAGTTCGACTGTCTGAAATAGACGACGTTCGTCTATAGTGCGGCCACACATTTCTACAGTCTTGCTCACACGAGGGGCCCAGCGATATCTCTCTCTTTTACGAGAGGTACAAATCCCGTCTTGACTATCTACAATCCAGTACATGATTCGTTTCGTACCTGATACACGCCTTTATAGTCCTCCTGTTACGCAGGACGTTTGACGTAATCAAAGCACGCAACTCCTCATGTTGGATTCTGTAGATATCTCAGGTCTTAGGATCCAATCATGGAATCGTCGTATGAGATTCAAGTCATGACGCTAGTCCATGTGACAATCTCATGCGGGTCAGTCCAGTATTCCGTTCTGCAACGAATACCTATGATTGTGATCGTATCCAATACCTATGATCATCTATGTGATCATCAATCACACATCATACTAGTCTTATTATGTCGTTATTCCCATAATGACACAAGACTAGGGAGTTTAGTATCATTCATAATGATACATGGATTTCATAACAGATCTAGCATGCAGGAACATGTAATGAACAAAATACTCTCATAAAAAAAACATATAGAAAGTATCAATACATCGAATGTATCTGAACAAAGCTCATAATCAGTACATCATAGAGCACTAAACCAGCAATATTTGCTTTAATTCGTGTTTACTTTCAGTTATAATCATCACCATCATCATCGTCTCTGATCGAAACCGAGTAGTAACCGTAATTGTTGTCGATAAACCACACGTGTCCTTGTGTTCGACCCTAGATACTACAATTGATCCGTACACTTGCGGTGATTGTATCTAGAAAATAAAACAAGATTAGATCACATCCTAGATTGACATCACCTTACACGCCGCATTGATCCAAAATCTCATTATCAGGTATTTTTGGTTTAGTCCATGATATGGACATGACCGCTGATAGCTCTTGTATCTCTCCCACGCTTCATATAAACTCTCATACTTTCCTTGCGAAAAAGAGTTTATCTTCCCTCTTATGAGCATGGTCTTTTCAGGAGAGAAAAACCGCACCATGAATTTATTGTGAAGTTGTTCCCATGTATGAATAGAGCCTGGTGGAAGCGTGTATAGCCACTCCAATGCTTTCCCAGATAAGGAGAAAGGGAAGGCCAAGAGTAATACTGCTTCCTCAGAGGTTCTGTTGGGTAGCTTGAGTCACTGACATTGCATCTTAAAATGATTCAAATGCAGGTTAGGGTCTTCTTCTAGAGTACCCTTGAAACTCGAGGCAGAAAGCATTTGCAAAAATGTTGGTCTCCTAATGCATGATAGTAACAAAGTATGTTTTGGAACATTATAATCTCCAAAAGTGAGCACTTCATTTCGCTTGACTGCTCTCGATGGAGTAGCGTTATGCGCAGGATGGTTGTCAACATTTCCGTTGTCTTCCATTGCTTCCAATCTCCTTCGTTGCCTCAGAAGTTGAAGAGTTCTTTCGATTTCTGGATCAGGAGGAAGTAGAGTTTGACTTCCACGGCTCCTAGACTATAAACCGAAGGAATCAAAGTTTTGATTCCCGAAAGAGGGAAATTTGATGAGTGTGGAAAGAAAGTAGATGGTGGTGAAAAACTAGAATCTAACCGGCACCAAGACTAAATCTCAGTCCCTGGCAACGGCGCCAAAAACTTGATCGTGCCAATCTAGGTAAATGGATGGTCAAGTAGTAAATACCTAGACTAAACCGATTCCGCAAAGGTACGAATTCGATATAGTACCAGGGTCGACCACAAGGGCCGAGAGGTGATGGTGTCGATGGTGATCCTAGCGAAGGTCGATCAGGTACTTATCTGGAATCGCTCGAATTGCCGGAGTTTTTCTGTCGTCAACAACTGCCGTCCCCAACAACATGTATATTACAATACAATACTATAACACATACACATATACATATATATGTGTGTGTAGGTACATGCTAATTTACAAGCCCACATTTAGCCCTAATGATGCCGTCGTTCCCCGTCAAAACCCCTATGCTTCCCATTTTGACCATAGAAACTGCAAAATCATTCATAAACAAATAAGGATTCTCACTGTAGGATTTTACCAAAGCTGCTGACTTTGGATCGTTCATAAGAATTTGATCAGATTCAAGAAGCCCAGTTTTCTTCATGAGATTCACGTAGTATGCGTTGTCGAACTTCACGGAACTTGCCACGTCAAGTGGGGCCAGCTTGGAGTTTGACGAGTCAACGTTAGGACACGTGTCCTGTAGTTTTGTAAGAACTGAGACTGCTAGATTCGGGTCTGGTTGTCCTGAGCCTCTGAAGTTGAAGAGCCTGTTCTTGAACACAAAGCATTGTGCAAATCCGATTGTGTGCGCTCCTGCAACCCAATCCATCTACTTTTAAAATTATAAAATGTGTGTTTATATGTATCTAAGAACATATTATTTCCTAATAAAATTATGGAATCCAAAAGAAGTTTTCAACCTGAAAAAGATAATTTAATCGTTTTAACGGTGTTTGTTTTTATTATTTTAGAAGAGATGGTGTTTTCGTCCATCCAAACTCTTAAAGTGGAGATTCCATATAATTTGTATACACAACGTAACTTCTTTCCATTAGAACTTTTAATTTCTATGATAAAGATAAGAATATATAAATAGAATTAAAATAGAAAACACATTAATATTTAAACTCTATACAAACTGAAACTCTTCATATTTTTTAATATATTCTTTAGATACGAGATTTCATTATATTCCTGTGTGATGCAACCAAATCAAAATCATGGGCCGGTCGGTATATTCGTTGTACCAAGAGCGATCTCTCTAATTAAAACGCTATTAATCCGATGAAATTTGAACGTTTACATGATCATTTCAAATCGATGGATTAGACTTGGTATGATGTAAAAAAAAAGAAGTCCGAAACAAATAGATAAATGTATATGCTAATTTTTAAACTAATAGTTTCATGTAAGATGCGTATGTAAGATGCGTTGAACTTGGGAATGAGACGACGTTGTTATTGTTGTTGTTGTTTCATGTAAGATGCAATTGGAAAGCGTAGAATTAGTTCTACAACTTTTGAAATAGCCTCAAAGGGTGCAAATGGCCAACTTGAGTAAGATTCAATTAAATTGATCCAATAGATTAAGCAAAATCCATATAACAATACGTAATCCCCCAAAAGATTCAATTCAATTTCACATGATCGATTCAAATTTACCGAAAGATCTAAGTCGTTCTAAATATGTCTCGACCAGATCAATTTAGACGTGATAAATTTAGATACATATTATCAACTGTCTATATAAACTAGTGTTATAGAAACCAAATTAAACAATTGAATAACTGAGTTTCGTTTTAATTCGATTCACGTTGTATTGAATTGTGGATGACACAAAGATGATGGAGAGAATAAAGAGGTGGAGACAAGGGAAGGACCTGAGAGGACAACCACATCTTTGAAGTCGAGGCCCATGGACACGAATTTCGCCGTTATATTCTCCAAAGGCTCCAAAGGAGACGGTAGATTTGTATTCGCCGCCTGCTCATCTGCGGTCGTCGAATCCCTCCGCCCCAACGGAACCGGCCAAAACGGGCCTCCAGTCTTCGTCACAAAAAACCACATCCATTTCATTAAGTGTTATATATATATATATAGTGACTTTTTTATTTAATTCAAGGGTTTATAGTATATTTCGTTAGTAAGATTTCTTTTTATCAGAAGGCTGTTAATATATTGCTTAATAATTATTAAGTTATTATTGGTAACTATATATAAATACATATATAAGTTATATATTCACCTACATGTAGATTTGACTTCAAAGATATAGAATATTGAGACTTTGATCTAATTGAAGAGTTTGTATGGCACATTTTGTTAGTAAGATTTATTTATTTGATCAAAGTTAACGTACTGCTTAATAGTTACGTAGTTATTTTGGTTTATATATGTGTTAAATCATTAGAATATGATATAGTCGATCCGAGTCTTAGATTCAGAGTTTTAACCTACTAATACTGTAAGGACAGTGTTGTAAATAGGTATATTTATTCAGAGTTTTAACCTACGAATACTGTAAGGGTAGTATTGTAAATACGTATATTTAGGGTTTTAATATACGTATTTACAATATTGTCCTTACATAGCGCCTTCTCAATTGTTGTACTTACGAGGACTACGGCCTCTCTCGCGGCAAGAGCAACGAGGTCGGCACAAGAAACGGTCAAAGGACAAGATTTTTCAACTTGGGCTTTGATGGCATCGATGACTTCATAACCACGAACGGAGTTCCTGTTGGGAAACGCGTTCTTCTCTCCTTTGAATTCCTCTGTCTCGTCTAGAAGTATCGACCCATCACAACCCTACAAGATTTTTGTTTTGTTTTTATGTTGTTATTATGATTGATATATATATATAGAGGGAGAGAGAGTTATGTAAGGCCATTTCATGTGTTACTTCCTTCTTTATAAACTTTGAAATGAAATCATAAGGTTGAAAGTGATATAGGTATTTTACGTTAACAAAACAATCGTGGAAATGAAGACGAAGAAGAGAAGCAGCAACTCTAGAGTCATCTCTGAAGGCTTTCCAGACACCTGACCTGACAGTCATCTGTAAATTAGGACAGGATATGTCATAGAATCTATAAGTGAGACCGTTGTTATCAATGTTGTATCCTCCATTGTTATTGTATCCCGAAGGAAAAGAGGATACATGAACAAGCAACAAAGTGAAGATGGCCGGTAGATAAGAGAAGGCTTTGGAAACCATTGATGGCTTAAGAAGATGTGGAATTTTGGCTAAAAGTTGGGTATTTCAATGACGAATTTAATACATTGAAGATTGGTATTTATACACAAAGAAAGAGAACGTTGGAAATGGAAATGTCATCAGCAAGGATGTAATATGGGAGTTTAAGAAAGTGGGGGTGCCACTATATGCATGTGATAAAATGGTGGGCCAATTTTGGATTTTAATTAATATTTCTTGTCACTTTGTTTGGCTGCTAGTTAAGTCACTAATGTTTTTTTCTTATAAATAATTGGAAAAATCCTAGAAAAAATGAGAAAATTAGATCGTAACTATCATATTCTATTCATAAAAATTTGACTCAGAATTCATAATGAACTTTTTTAAAATTGATAAAAAAAACTCTAACTTTTTAAATTTTTTTTTAAAAAATCTAATAGTCGACAAATGACGTTAGTTTTTTATAAGATGTGTAATATATTACTCAAAAATGGATAGTACATAATACGAGATAAAAATCCGCATTAAAAGTTTTCGTTAGCCAACCTTTAATGGAATGAGTTTGCATCATAATCTACCGATGAATACGACTAATTCTCAATCTATAGTCCAAGAGTACCATTTTTGAAGCAAGGAGTTGCTTCTACTTCGAACAGCCTCCTGCAATGAGAGGAGTGTAGTCTGCACCGATCTGTCAATCCGTATGCTAAGGGTTTGAGGAGTCGTGTAAGATAATTTCAGGTTTTCAGGGATTTGCTTTTATGAAAACCTAAACGATAAACTGGATCTGACTTTGTATAATTCACACAAAACAATCAATAAAACATAGATCAGAAAACCATACATGGATCCATAAAATGCACCGGAATAACTTTTAAAACCAAAGATCTTCTAGGGTTTTCTCCCATTTCTCCCGTACTATAAGTTTTTCTTGATGGACAGAAATAATGAACTATAATGTTCCTTTTATAGGGTGTGAAAACCCTAATTCTATTAGGGTAAGGAGACAGCGGACTTCCAATAATACCTCTGGGCTTTAATTCTCTAATGGATGTTTATCCATCAAAGAACCAATTTAATATCAAAACCCAAAAGCCCAAATTACATGGGCTACATAATAATTTATTTCTTACAAGTCGATGCAGTGTTTCTGAACACACGAGAGTTCTGCTCCTTCCAGATTTCGTACACAACTTGTTGGATTAGTGTCTTCAGCACAACTTTTCTTTCCCATCCATCACTCGACGGGATCTGTCCCAACCATTGATGGCATCTCGTTAACGGTATACGCATATCCTCCACTTACCACCTTATCTACAGCATCATTAAAAATAAATTTTTGAAAACCTTATAATTTGATTTTAAAACCTGTCACTCAAAAATCTTCGAAAGGAAACTCAAAGGGTCGTAACCGAAAGACCAGGGGAGGACAATATTTTGGGATCCCATGATTTTTGTCCGGAACATGGACTTAAATGCACAAAATAAGCGTTTTTTTTACACATAAGTGGATTGAGGAGAATAAATTAGTTATGGGAGTTCTCCTTGAAACTTAAATCCAAGAATCTAATGCTACTCGGATAACTAATGCAATACCAACCAACTGGGTTAGTTTTTGCCGGTTCATCGATCATAACTCAGCCAGAATTTGGCTCATCTAGGATCCTGCAACATCGCTGATAACATACAGCGCAGCGAAACAAGCAGTGACTGACTACACGGAAAGAGAGGGCAACCACACACTAAAAAGTTAACTGGCACAAAATGGTTTGGTGTAAGTTTGGTGTGCCAAAACATTCATTTATCACATAGCTTTTTGTACTTGATTGACCAAGGAACGCTTGGCCTCTTGGGGATTCCAAATGGATATGTGTTGTCTATATTGTGGTGCAGAGATTGAAAACAGAAACCATCTTCTATTTGAATGCATATTCATGAGAGAACTCTTCGGTTTTTTATGAGGAAACGGGGCAACATCAACATTCAATATGGGTGGAATGAATCTATTGACTGGTTGCTCGGTAGGTGGGATTGTAAAATCCGACATATGGGTACTTGTATCACATGGCAACTGCTGATATGTTCATTTGGATCGAACGAAACTCACGAATGCATACTGGTACATATGAAGACTTTGCTATAATATGTAGAGATTGTTGATATTCACTACGGGTTCCTAGCATGTGATCGCATCGATTTAGGGTTTGGTTTCTAGATTTCATGCGGTGGAAGAATAATCTAAAACCTAGTCAAACGTCACACGTAACCAAACATATAAAAGAACCCGAAAGAACATGTATATCACCGATGGAATCGAATACAGCTCCTCTACACGTATCCGCACCGGCGGAAAGGATTCCAAACGGTTTGGAACGGATCTGCTAGGATCTGCGAGGAGAAAACGACGTTCGGGAATAGGAATCGATATTCCCGGGTTTAGATCTCAAGAGAACTCTTCTCTTAGGCTCTAGAATGAGTTACGGACATCTTAGGTTCATTAAGGGCTTGGGACGACTCCCTTGTTAAATAGGATTGCCAAAAACCCTAAAATCGCGAAAAAGAAAAGTTGCCCGATGCGTAGACCGATCGGTCTGGGTCATGGACCGATCGGTCTTGAGCTATGCTGGACCGATCGGTCTAGGTCCTGAACCGACCGGTCTCCACATCTTGAACATTTCCAGCTCGCGATGCTCATTCCGTCGTTTCGTTATCTTTTCTCTTGCATTCTTCTCTTCACATGTAGTTTATCCCTGATGGTGTATGACCCTGTAGGTCCATTCGCAGTGGCAGTGACTTCAGAAATCTTTTCCGTACCACTGGCCATGGTTAGCCTCTAGCAAGATGCTATGACCACCTACTTTGAATAGAATTAGAGGTGATCTAATCGAGACAGTAACACCTCAAGTTCTGATCTTTTATCTCACAATATCATATGTTGAACAAGGGCATGGAGCTAGCTACCCTTCAAGTTCAACCGCTTTCTCGTCTTGGAAAATCGACTGATAAGATTGATACAACTTCATCTATAGCGTGGCCACTCGGTTTTACAATTCAATTTTCATGAGGGATCCAGCGATATCTCTTCTATTATAGAGGTGACAAGTCCTGTATTGCATGTGTACTATCTCCATATGATTCGTGAACATATCTGAGCAACGCCGTTAAAATCATCCGGTTAAAGATGACGTTTGACGCAGTCAAGACACGCCACTCCTCATATCAGATACTCTAGACATCTCAGGTCTGAGGTGTTGGTTTAGTGGTCTATGATGTACTGTTGTATGAGCTTTATTATGATACATTCGATGTATTGACACTTACTATGGTTAAATGGATGAGTGTTTGATTCATTACGTATTGTGCATACCGTAACATGTCCATGTATTGTTATGAACAATACTAAACTCCTTAGTCATATATCGTTGTGGGAATAATGATGTACTAAGACTAGTTGATGTGTGATAGATGATCATAGAGATGATAATGGGTATTGGATACGATCACAATCATAGGTATTCGTTGGAGAACGGAATACTGGATTGACCCGCATGAGATTTTCACATGGACTAGCGTCGTGCCTTGAATCTCATGTGACGGTTCTATGATTGGATCCTACGACCTGAGATATCTACGAAATTCAACATGAGGAATTGCGTACTTTGAATACGTCAAACGTCCTGCGTAACAGGAGGACTATAAAGGCGTGTATCAGGTACGACACGAATCATGTGCTGGATTGTAGATTGTCAAGATAGGATTTGTACCTCTCGTAAAAGAGAGAGATATCGCTGGGCCCCTCGTGTGAGCGAGACTGTAGAAATGCATCGCCACACTATAGACGAGCGTCGTCTATTTTGTACAATCGAACTCTATGAACGAGAAAACAGTCGAATCAGATAAAGTGGCTTCTCCATGCCTTATGTTCGACATATGATATCATGATATAAAAGGATCATCAACCGGAATCATCACTGACGTTCGTAAGATCACGAACAAACTCTATTCGAGATAGGTAGTCATAGTGTCTTGCTAGAGATCGCCTATGATTTGTATATCCGGAATAGAGATTTCGTGTATACTGCTATATCGGATGAGCCTATAGGGTCACACACGCAGGGAAGGAAAAATCTACGAGAAAAACGGCAAAAAACCGAGACAGAGGGTCCAGACCCGACGGACCAGAAGAGCCAAACCCGACGGTCCATAAGGTCCAGACCCGACGGACCAGAAGGGCCAGACCCGACGGTCCAGTAGGTCCAGACCCGACGGCCATAGGGTGTCAGTCTGTCTGTTCCGTAATGTCTGGAATGGACGGTCCGCATAACCCAGCCCGTCCGTTTTGGAATGCTGGAACGGACGGTCTACGTGTAAATCTGGACCGTCCGTTCTGGCTTTCGGGTTTTTCGAAAAGAAACCGAAATGAGGGTTAATCACTTTATAAGAAAGAGATTAAGAACCCTAATAGAAAAGAGCCGAAAAAGAGAACTTCTATAGACCTCTTGGTGAGCTTTGAGGGTCTAAGAAATGATCTAAATCTCGTTTTCTCATTGCACATAACCGAACAACAGATTCGGATCTAGCAGACAAGTTCCAATAGTTGGAATCCATCCCGAGGTGTGGATACGTGTAGAGGGCGAGGTAATCTTCCTCCCATTTGTGATTGGATGAACTCATCGATTGATACATGTCCCGGATCGATTGAGGTAAGGGTTCTAACGTTTCTCTGATTCATACATGCATGGTTCTAGAGTTTATTAGAATTTTTGTTTTACATCCGCTGCGCAAACCCTAAAACGATCTCTTAGGAATTAGATTCGCTGTAGAGATCCCAGGAATTCTCAACATGAGGATGCAGGAACGAACCGCTATATGAGATTCAAATCATGACTCGTGTCCATGTGACAATTTCATGCGGGTTATCCAGTCACTCATTCCCAACGAGCATCCATGATTGTGATATGCATCCAATGCATCAATCACACCTCATGCTGGTCTTAATTCATCATTGTTCCCACAATTACAACTGATCAGGGAGTTTAAAATCATCCTACAGAT